CTAACAGCTTTTAATATTCTGTTATTGTGTTGACTTTCTGGTATCTTTATCATATGTCTGGTTGTAGATTTACTTTGGTGATGGCTAGTTGGAGACCTATATGCCTTGCTTATCTGTATGTCAGACCCTTTTCCTGTGTTTGGGAAGTTTTCTGTTTTTACTTCTATAAATAGTCTCTTTATGTCGTTTGTATTGACCCCTGATTTTTTGCTGACACTTATCACTCTTAAATTATTTTTCTTTGCATTGTATAACAGCAGTTGAATTGTCATTTCCTGGTTCCTTGTTATTTTTAAGAGATCTTTTCTTTCATGATTTCTAGCTGCAATCCTGTCATCAAGGTCTCAGAGTCTATCTTCAATCTCTTTCAAGCAGTTTTTCCAGCTTTCAATTGCCTTTAATTTCCTGGATATCTCTTTGAATCTATTTCATGCATTGTAATTCTTTCCTATATTATTCATTCAAGGTTTACATCATTTTCCTATGCTCTTATTTTATCTATGTCTTCTTTAGATATGCTCAGTAAGTCTTTCATTATGTTTGCAATTTTTTCTTTTACCTGAGACATTATTTCTGATTTGGTTACTTTTACAGTCTCATGAAGTTATTTCTTTATTTCAGTTGCTATTCTTTCAGAGATTTCAGGTGTGTAACTTCCATTTTATTCCATGTTCCTATCTCCCAGAGTTGTTCTGTATGAGCTGGAGGTTTGAGATTGTCTTTTGTTCCTTCATCTTGACATTTTTGTAGGTTTCTCCCAGCAAGTCAGTTCCCAAGCACTTCACACATTGACTGCTCCTCTGCAGTATAGTGGAATGGGTCAAGCATCTGGGTTTCTCTAAAGCCAGATTCCCAGGGAGACAGTGGGCATAAGGCAAGCTTCTTCAGCCCTGTGTGGCCACACCGAGGCTTCTCCGATGGCTATGGGTATGTGGTGGGGGGACTGCTTCTTCTCTCAGCCTGTGTGACTAATGGGGAGCTATTCTAATCCTAGCAGGTACTCAGGGGTGTGTTTGTGTGGTTCTCCCAGCATATCCTGGCTCCGATAGCTTGTTGGCCTAGTGAGTGTATCTGGATGTTTCTCCCTGTCCACACTGGTTACCTGAGGGAAGTAAGCTTCTCAATAGCAGCATACATACAAGGGCAGGTCTGGTTGATGTTTTTTCCTGTGTGTGCTGGCTGTCCACAGGAGACAAATTTTCTGATGAGGCATACAGGAGCCAGTCAGGTTGTTTCTATTTCTAATAGTTTTTTGACTTTTATTTTTATTAGTACATGTTTGCAGCACATAATGATTTATATCCCTTATGGAAAGCTGGTATATGTACAAACCACACTTTAATTCCATTTTTATTCCCCTCCTTTTATGGTCTCCTTCCTGTTGTTCAATTTCTCTAGTGATATTTTCAGTTTAGTTATCATGTTCTGCAGTTCTGTGGTTTTTGTGTTGTAGTTTTTCGTATTTTATTTCATTTTGTTGAAATTCTCGCTTTATTCATGCATTGTTATTTTGACTTCAGTGGACATCTTTTTGAGAAATATTTTTAATTCTTCATCAGATAAATTATCTGACTTTCGTTCTCCTCCTCCTCCTCCTCTTCTCCTCCTCCTCTTTCTTCTTCTTTTTCTTCTTCTTCTTCTTCTTCTTCTTCTTCTTCTTCTTCTTCTTCTTCTTCTTCTTCTCCTTCTCCTTCTCCTTCTCCTTCTCCTTCTCCTTCTCCTTCTCCTTCTTCTTCTTCTTCTTCTTCTTCTTCCTCTTCCTCTTCTTCTTTTTTCTGGTACTAGTGATTGAACTCCTAACCTCACACAAGCCAGGCAGGAGCTTGTGCTGCTAAGTTAAATTCTCAGCCCATGGCTTCATTTCTTTAAGGTTAGTTATTCACATTATCTTGGTTCTGTGTTTGGAACATTTTTTTCTGATTTCCATTGTCTTTGACTTTTTATGTTGGCACCTGCACATTAGGAAAAGCAGGCACTTTCAGTCTTTAAGAACTGGGCTTACATAGCAGACACTGATTAAACGCTTTTTCAGAGTTGTTTTTTTTTTTTTTTTTTTTTTTTTGGTCTTTTTTGAGTATGAAGTTCAGGCTGGCCTTGAGCTCACTTTGTAGCCCAGGCTGGTCTCAAACTCACAATGATCTCTCACCTCAGCCTCCTGAGTGCTGGGATTACAGGCGTGAGTCACCATGCCTGGCTTGTTTTTGTTTTTTGTTTTGTTTTGTTTTTGGTACTCCTGACTTTGTGCTTGCCAGGCAGGCATTGTACCACTGAACTATATCCCTGGCTTTTTTTCTGGGGTGTACATTCTCTCTCTGTCTCTCTCTGTCTCTCTCTGTCTCTCTCCATCTCTGTGTCTCCTTGTACTACATCTGTGTCTGTCTGTCTGTCTATCTGTCTTTCTCTCCTTAGAGAAGCAGGCAGTTGCAACCTTACTTTGCTCAGTCTGTGCTGAGCTAGGAGTTACAGTATGGGTCAGCCTATGTAGTCATCTCTTTCTGTTCCTCAGAGATAGACTATGCATGACCCATCAGAATTCCAGGATTAGTGAGAAAGATACTAGTTTTAGAGAAGATTCAGTGCAGCATTTGTGGATTAATCCTTTCCCTCCTGGGGAAAAAGTGAGAACTGGGATTATTTTTCACTTGTTCACTGTATGATGAGCAGAAGAGAAGATCAGTCATGCTTACCATCCCATGCCACTGTCATCATTCTCTCCTATGTAGCTGGACTGTTGCTGATGGATCTGTTAAAGCTCCAAGACAAGCAAGACAGAATCCAGTCCTTTGGGAGCACTCTTGGAGGAGTTGGGTGCTTGTCATGCAAACCAATTTCTCCCAGTTCTTAGGTGAAGCTGGGAGCTAGGTAGTCTTCTTAAATGTATGGTACTCTACTCAGGTAAGGAATTCTGGAGACAGGGTGTCCTAAGTCTTCAGAGTGTTTTTTTCTAAGTTTTATTTTAAAGAGAAAAATTTTAGTAAAAATTCAGTTCAAAACAAGATAATAGAAGAGTGACAATGGTTAATACATTTAATATTGTTATCTTTAAATTATTAGAGTACAAGATATAGGCATTTATTTGTCCAAACATTAGCACAAACCTTTCTTTTCCATGAATTCTGAGAAATTAGTAGTATAACTTCTTAACAATCATTTGCTTTTGCTTTTTATTTCCTTATTTTTTTCTTTCCTGCATTCCAGTTTCTCTTTGTTTTTGAACAGTTTCTTCCCAGTTCACAAGATCTATTATACATTTGGGATCTGATTTACTCTTTCAGTTTTTCATACTAGTGAGACAATACAATGTTTACACATATGGGTTTGATTTATTTCAAACAAGTATGGTCTCGAGTTGCATCCATTTACCTAGAATAGTGCCTAGTTTATCCTTCTTTGTGGATGAGTTGTACTCCATTGTATAAGATGACCACTTTTTTTATCCATTCCTCAGTTGATGAGCATTTGGGTTGTTTCCAAGATTTAGCTATTCCAAAGTGTGCTGCTGTAAACATAGGTGCATAGATATTGCTGTGATATGATATTTTTAATTCTTCTGGGAAGATACCCATAAACTAGGTCAAATGGGACCCCTAATCCTAGTTTTTGGAGGAACCTTCACATTGATTTCTATAGTGGTTGCACCAGTCTACACTCCCACCAACAGTGAAGAAGTGTTCCTTTTTCCTCACAGCCCCTCCAGCATTTGTTATTGGTTGCTCTCTTGATTATAGGCATTCTTTCCAGGGTGAGATGGTAGCTCAGTGTTGCTTTAATTTGCATCTCTTAAATGACCAGTGATGTTGAACTTTGTTTCATACATTTATTTGTTCTTTGTGTTCCCTTGTCTGAGGAATGTGTGTTCATTTCAGATGCTTATTTTTGGATTGGGTCTTTAAATTGGGAAGGTCTGATTTTTTTGAGTTCTTTATGTGTTTTCCATAATATCCCTTTGTCTGAAGTACAGCTGGCAAAATTTTCTTCCACATTGTGAGTTGTTTCTTCACTCTGTTTGTGATTTTCTTGCTGTGCAAATGATTTTTAATAAGATCTCAGTTGTGAGAGTTCTTGTGCATTTGGAATTTTATTTATAAAGTCTTTGCCTACATTGAGATCTTCAAGAGTTTTACCTATTTTATCTTCCAGCAGATTTAATGTTTCTGTTTTAATATTTAGATCTTTGATTGATTTTGAATTTAGCTTAGTGCTTGGTGAAAGATATGGATCCAATTTTAATCTTCAGCATGTGCAAAGCCAGTTTTTCCTGCACCATTTATTAAAGAGGCTACCTTTCTTCCAGTGAATATATTTGGCATTTTTGTCAAAGATAAGGCGGAGTTGTTTTCTGCATCTTCTAGCCTGTTTCAATGATCTTCATGTCTGTTTTTTCCCCCCTGTAATATACTGTTTTTATCTCAGTAGCTTTGTAGTATAATTTCAGGTCAGGGATTGTGATGGCCTTTGCCTTGCCTTTGTTTCCCAGAGTTGCCTTTATTATTCTTTTATGTCTCTTCTGGCTCTCCATAGTAGTTTTAGTGATATGATTTTCGTTTTTGTTACTGAGGACAGGACCCAAGACCTGGTACTTATGAGGTGAATCCTCCAAGATGAGTCATACACCTAGCCTAGAAGAGATTTGTTTCTGATACTGGGAATTGAATTTAGGACCTCGTGCTTGTTGGGTAGGCACTGTGCCACTGAGATATATCCTTGGTCCCATGAGTCTGATTTTGTGTTTTCCTGGATGCATGGACCTTTTAATTAGGGTCTAATTTTCACAAATGAATTTCAACTTTGAATCATTGCTATACAGTGGTAAATCTGGATCTTCCTACTCTGCCATATTGCTGATGTTATTCCTCTGAGGAGATATTTACAATCACTCTCTGTTGCTCTTTTTATATAATTTTAATGCAAAAACAATCTTTGGGGTCTAATATTCAGGACACTATAGTTACTAGAAGTGATTTATAACAATTTATTCATGTTTTCTTTATTTCTTTTAGATAATAAGAAATTACCTATTTCAATTTCTTTAACTCCCTGTTTAGAATTGAAGGGATCATCTGGATTTCTGAATATTTACCACATACCAAGTAAGTTCAATTCTTGTTTCCTTAGATCAACTAAAGGGTTCAAGAAATATAAAATAAATAATTGTGTTCCAAATGTGATTGTTCCCTATTGCTATGCAACAAATTTCTACAATGTTAGGAATCTAACACAATACTACCTATTACTCATAGTCTTTTTTTTTTTGTCTTCTTCCTTTTTATCCGTACCAGGGATCGAACTCATGACTGCCTGCTTGCAAGGCAGGCGCTTATGTTGCTGAGCTAAATACCCAGCCCCTATTATTCATAGTCTTTGTAGGTTAGTGATCTGGGCATAATTTACTTGAGCTAGCTGCAAGCCTTTTAATAAAGCTACACTCAAGATGTTGACCAGGACTGGACTCTTGGAAGGCTGGGGAAGAATCTACTTTTATGCTTGTATGGTTTTCAACTGTATTTAGTTCCTGGATACTGATGGCCATACCTCAGTTCTTACCACTTGGGCCTTTTAAACATAACTTTATCAAAACCAGGATGTAGTACAGTTAATAAGATGAAAGTGGCCTAGTTGAGGAAGCAACATTCTGTCACCTCTGGTGCAGTTAGTCTGTTGGTTAGAAGGAAGTCGCTGTGGGGGCTGGGGATTTAGCTCAGCGGCATAAGCGCTTGCCTTGCAAGCAGGCAGTCATGAGTTTGATCCCTGGTACCGATAAAAATGAAAAAGACAAAAAAAAAAAAGTATAAAAAAAGAAGGAAGTCGCTGTGTTTGCTCACACCCACACCCCGAGGAAGGAATTATATAAAAGTATGTGAATAGAATTGGCAATTTCTTGAGATTTCTAGCAATCTCACATGTACATGCTTTGTCAATCATTAAGTATTCAGCTGGTTAGTGCCGTTTGGTTTCTACTAGTCAAAGATCTGTGTGTAATTCAGCCAGTTCTTTAAGAGAAAAAATGGTGATAAGGGGATTTAAAAAGGCAAAGTGTTTTGTATCTTGTTTTTTTTCTGTGTGGTTCATTATTTGTTGTCAGGATAGTAAAAATTAGTGGAGATAGGGGTGTTTTTAGTGCCTCATCCTCTCTGACTTGTCAGCTTTCATTGTGTGTTTCTTGTTTCTCATAAGTCCTGGGCTCTTAGGAAACTAATTCTAATCTTTATCATCATTATCATGTACATCTTAGATTTGGAGTTTGTTTTATACTTTACAAAGTACTTTTATATAAATGGTCTTAAAAACACCTTTGTCCCTTCATTCTTGATTTTAGTTCTCCAGCTTATGAGAAGAAAAAGTAGTGAGAATTCAGGAATAATAAACAATGAATTTGGGTTTTAATTTTTCTGAATCTAATTGTCAGCTTGTATTTTGATGCTTTATCTTGGCCTTGACTTACTCATTAGAAAACTACTTGGGACCGTGGGTGTACCGTGGTGTTAAAGCGCTGGCCTGCATGGTGGAAGCTCTGGGTGTAATACTTAGCACTGAAAAGAAGTAGGAAGGTCTTAGTATATTTCCAGTGTTGTAGTAGGTGCCATGAAGTCATTGAAAAGACATTCTCTTGATCTTTAAGAATCTGTCAGTGCAACAGGAGACATGGATCTACAGAGAAAATGGTATAAATAAAATGATAGCAGTCAGGCGTAACAGTAATTCAGAGCAAACAAGGATTAACTGTTGTCTTCAACTTATTCACCAAAAGTAAAAGAAATTTTTCATCAAGCAAAGGCCCTATAATGTCCTCCTTTTTCCCAAGTTCTGTTTCCTGAACTATTTGCTATGTTGGACCCCCAGATGCTTGTCCTAAGTGATTATTTACTTAGTGAATGATGAATCCCTTACTTTCAGGTGAATTCCTTGCCTGATAGGAAGCAGGTTGTATTATTCCAGTCTCAAACAATAAAACAATATGACATTACTTAAGATTCTCTGAAAGACAGATCTTAAGTGATTAGATATGCTAGATTTTTGTTGGGGCAAATGCTTGTGAACAGTAAAGGAAAGTGAAAGTCAGAGGAGACATAGAGAGTATTGAGATTGGATTGTGGTTCTGCTACCTTTGAAAAGTGAAAGAGGGCAGTACAGTGGCACCTGCTTGTAGTTTCAGCTATTCAGGAGGCTGAGGCAGGAGGACTGCTTGAGCCCAGGAGTTTGAGATTAGTCTGGGCAACATAGCAAGACCTCATCTCCAATGAAGTTATCATTATGTATATCTAAATGTACCAATAAAAATATACCCCATCTCCAAAAATTCCTGGCCAGGCAGATAGGTGGCACATGCCTATAATCCCACTCTCTGGAAAGCTTAGTAAAAAGGGTCACAAGTTCAAGTGCAGCCAAGGTAACTTAGCAACTTACGACCCTATCTCAAAATAAAAAATAAAGGACTATTGATGTAGCTCAGTCTGAAGACCTTGAGTTCAATCCCTAGTACCCACAAAAACAAAATAAGAGGAAATGAAGCAAAACTCAACAAATAATAATAGAAAGAAAAAGAAAGAGTGAAAGGGGAAAAAGGAGAATTAAGGTGACATAATCATCAGACCAAGAGGCAGTGTTCTGAACTATGTCAAAGGCCAGCCCCAGAGCACAAACTGCTGTCCCTGAGAGTCCTGGAGCATCCTGCAGGAGTGTGGCCCATGGTGAGGGTGGGATCTCAAGGCCCAGCACTTGCAGGCTGTCTGCACCCACCTTTCTCACTGTTGTTTCTTCTGAAGAGAGGTTTGAGTGACACACCTCAGATTACTTCAACCACTTATTAAATATAACATAGGACAAATCATAATTAATTCAGTCATGAATTAGTCATTTCAAAGATAATGCTTTGCAACGGTGACCTGAATTTCTCTGTAATTTACTATAACGGCACTATGATGTGTGAGCCCCCATTCATAGAAGTTGACTTAGTTTTGTGGCATTCATTCTGTTTAAATTCTTAAGAGCTGTAAGTAAAACTTGAACCAAAAATACATTGGGAAGAGAAATGATGTATTTTGAGACTTCGTAGGCTTGCTAACGAATCCTTGTAGACTATCAGCTAACTGATAATAAATAAAGCTGTCCATAAGCCTCCCTCAAGGTAGTTTTGGAAGTTCCTAGAGTTGTCGCAGGCTCAAAAATACTCTATGTTATTACATGATGACCACCATGTTTCTTGTCTCTTCAACATCCACATGGATATACTGCTAAGCCACGAAAGTGTTGTCTCACTACTGCTGTAGTTCATGTGCCTCACATGCCCACAGTGTGTCCAAGGCCAAGAGCTTCTCAAGCTAAAAACCACTGAGATGTCAAAGCAGGACTTCATTCGTTAGAATCTTCAAAGATTAGAATCATGCTGGGCCTCATGAAGAAATGCAAGGGGCTCCTTTGCTCTGTGTTGTCCTGAGCCAGTGCAGTAGTACCGTTCTGTGTCTGTTGGCTCCAGAAATTCCTTGCAAAAACAGCTCATGAACTTCAGCACTGAGCCTTGCTTTGGGAGAGTTTCCGGCCCACATTTGTGGCGTGAGCCTTGGAACCTCTGCTTGAAGCGAACTCCATGATGGTCTTCTCTACACGCAACCCTGAAAATAGAGATGCGGAGACAGATGAGGATGTTTGATGTTACATCAGACTCAGAGTGACGAGGGCCTGTGTTAAAGCAGTGGTAATGAGAAGAAAAAGAGTCTGATAAGATTTGCTCATGGTAGTGAGGATTCTAGTGCCAATTTCATGATGATGGTGAGGAAATCAATTTTGCATTTGTTGTATGAGATAAGGAAGCAACTTTTGAGTAGAGACGTTGAATGAATTTATAATATAAGTACAGTACTTGGGAGAAAGGTTGAGAGTAAAGATCCAGAGATGATTTCCAAATCATTACCTTATATGATACTTAACTTCAGGGAAACTTGCAGAACGAAAACTGAGGACAACTGAAGACAAACCTTAAGAAGATACAATGACATGCACTAAGGAGACGTTGGGGAGGTTGGAGGGCAAGTAAAAGAAAGTGGTGGTGTCAGCCTCAAAGGAGCAGAAAGGAGCCGGCAACTCTGAAGTATAGCTCAGTTCAAGTTAAAGATGGGAAAATTGTCTTTTGACTTTGGCTGCAAAGATTCAGGGTGACCTTATTTAGAAAACATTTTCAGAGAGGAAGTGGTTACAATAATTGCCTTCATTATAAAAATGATTTTATATATTTTCTCTATTTGGACCAGTTGAATAACTTGGAAGAATTGAGGAAAACATATTTACTTACTGGAATTTCCATGTTATCTGACAATAGGGAGATCATGAAGAAACTTAAAACACCCATATATTTAATTTGTAATCAAAAGATTCAATCTTCAAATATTTTATCAAAACCCCTAAAAGTCTGATATAAGCTGGGTGTGGTGGCACACACCTGTAATCCCAGCACTCAGGAGGCTGAGGTAGGAGGATCACTGTGAGTTTGAGACTAAACTAGACTAGATTCCATAGTGAGACCCTGCCTCAAACAAAGCAAAACAAAACAAAACTGAAAACATAAGTTGACATGAGTTGATTACCCTCACTTCTTTTTTTCTCTTTGGATTTTCTAGCAGAACTAACACTGAAATTTTTGTTTTGTTTGATAGTTTTCTCCATCAAGTTATGACCTTATGATGTTTACTCTATTTTTAGGCATAGCATACACAGTTCCTATGGGGTAACATTCTATTTGGCTATAAAGATGTCTGTCCACTTTGAACTTGAGCTTGCTCATCTACAGAACAAGAATAATAACATCCACCTCGTGGAGAGTTGTGGTGACTGAAATGAAGAAATGTGGGAAACGGGCATGGGGCCCGTGTTAAGCGTACAACAATGTTTTCTTTAGAGGAGAATCTCTTAGTTGAGGGGCTAATGGAGTGCTTTCTTTTTAAGGGAGAGACTTAAGAAAGTTGTACTTCAATCTGGATGTGTCTTTCAAATCCATGAGTTTGCCAAAACGCAAGGAAGTTATTTGCAGAGGCTATGATGACAAGTATTCTTTCTGCAGAACTCTAAAAGGAGGTAAGCATTCAGTTCATATTACTTGTAGAGGGGAAAATAATTCTTTATCAGAATGTTATGAAAATTAAACACATTGAAAATACGAAGTTCCTCTGATCACAATTCTTCCTTTCCATACAACCTTTTACTCTTAGCAGCTTAAACATTTTACTAGTATGTTCCTTTTTGTTTTTTAATATTTTTGGTTTTTTTGAGACAGGGTCTTGCTATGTATTTCATACTTGCCTTGAATTCAAGGTAATTCACCTGCCTCAGCCTCCCAAATGCTGGGATTACAGGTGTGCACCCCCTCACCCAGAGACATTTATATCACTTATGTTCCTGAGTTGTGATTACAATGACAATTTATGTGAATGTGTTTGAAGGAGTATTAAAATGCTTGCTTTGTTCAAATGAATATTTTACATTTACTCTTGACTATGGATGTCTTTTTCTTTCTTTTTGTTGTGGATACCTTTTTCTAAACATCATTTTCCACAGGAAATCACTCAGTTTTTCTGCATAGCCAACTGTGCAGAGCTGTTTCCACTAATATCTTCTCTTTATTTCTACGCTGAAGTTATTCACAGAATCATAGATTTCAGAGTTTAGAACCTGAAAGATCATTTAGTACAAACCTCTAAGTTTGTTCTTAATAGTTTAAAAACTAATATTTAAATACTTTAAAAGATGATACATAAACATTACATGGCCACATTTCTAAAAATTAAAAATATAGACAACAAAATGATGTGGAGTCATATTTCTAAAAACATTTTGGAGTTTCTTCTTCTTTTCCTTCTCCTTCTCCTTCTCCTTCTCCTTCTCCTCCTCTTCCTCCTCCTCCTCCTCCTCCTCCTCCTCCTCCTCCTCCTCCTTCTCCTCCTTCTTGTTCTTCTTCTTCTTCTTGAGACAGGGTCTTACTGCTTAGTTCAGGCTGGTCTTGAACTCACTATATAGACCAATGTTACCCAGAATTTGTGACAATTCTCCTGCCTCAGCTTCCTGAGTGCTGGAATTACAGGCAAGTGCCATCACATCCAGCTAATATTTTCTTCTTATGTTTTTTAAGTGTTGATCTTAAATGTATTTAGCTGTAAGTACTACGTTTTAATTTTCTTCCTAAAAATGACTTTATTTGACTCTTTGAATAACTCTTCTGTGAGGCTCAGAAATCGAGGGCTGAGCCGGGTAATGAGGCCTCTCCTTAGTGGGTGTGTGTACCCTTACATGCTCAGGCATTCTATTGCACTTCATTTCCTTCTGTTGTTTTCATGTTATAATAAATATATTTCCATTTGTAATTATTTTTATATTTGAGATTTGAATATTTTCATACTTGGGAGAAAAAGTTATGAATAACTCCCATGGAGAATTTTGGAATTAAACAATTTGAATATATTTGTAATTTTGTTTATAAAATGCCAAATTGTTTTCCTACAGGCTTGTACCTATTAATATATTATACAACAAGCAATGTATATGTATAATGGTTTAATTTCTCTCTTATAAGCATTTAGCATTATAAATTTAAAACAATTTTTTATTTGTTTTTTTTAAGGTAGGATTTTACTATATAGCTAAATTGCTCTTGAACTTGCAGTGATCCTCCTGCCTCAATCCCCTGAGTGCTGGCATGTGTCACCACACCTAGTTTAAGAATAAATTTTTTAAAAATTTATTTTAAAAACTTACATAAAAGGGCCAGTGATACAGCTCTGTAGTAGAGCACTTGCCTAGTAGGTGAGAGGCTCTGGGTACAATGCCTGCTACTGCAAAACAAAAGAAAAGCTTTCACTTAATTGTTTTATTAACTTTTGAAAATCATTGGGCTTGGCGTGCAGCTCAGTGGTAGGCTGCCTGCCCAGCATGCACGAGGCCCTGTGTTTGATCCCCAGCACTGCAAAACTAAATAAAATAAAATTAAAAATGACCATTGCAGTTTGCTTTCCTGTATAATTATTCACTATTAACTTATACTCTATCTTATTTAAAGTAGAATGTCAGGTAGTTGATAGGCATACATTTAATTAGTGATATAACAAAATTATAGTTGGGAAATAAAAATCTAGCAAGGCGTTACATGCCTGTAATCCCAAGACTTAGGGACACACAAGCAAGCAGATTGCAAGTGTGTCTCATCTGGGAAAGTTGGTGAGGCTGTGTTTAAAAACACACACACACACACACACACACACACACACACACACACACACACGAATGACATGGCTGGGGCTACAGCTCAGAATGCTCCTAGGTTTGACCCTTAGAATTGAGATTGGGAGACAGGGAAAGGAAAATAAGGGTAGAGAATTAATGGAAGGAGAGAAATAGACAAATTCAAAACCAAAAAGCCTGCACTTTGCTTCAAGCAGACAGATCAAGCTTCTGGATGCATCTCTGCCACTCTTCCCGCCTCATTACTCACCTGTGTGGCACCCGCTATGACAGCTGTCAGCTGGGCAGCAGACATTGTGTCTGTCTGGGCTCAGCTGTTAGAGGCCTAAGTTTGTACCTCAGCTTTCTCCGGTCAGCAGCATGATGTTGGGAGTGTATTTAACCTGTCTCAGCCCCATTCTCCTCTGTAAATTGAGGACAATGAAATTGGTTGTCAGGATTAAATCTGAATCTAGGTAAACAAAAAGCTTGGTACAGTGCTCAGAGTAAGAATTCTTTTGTTCTTGATTTTCTAGACCTGTTATTTTTAAAGTCGAGGAAACTGATTTCTGCAGTCCGTCTAGCGTGTCCAAGGCCATTGGGAAAACTAGTGCTATCACAGCCTCATAATCCATGACTCTTCCACTGTGCCACGCTTTCTGTTCAATGAGCAAAATCTCTCGCCAGTGATTAGTATTTTTTAATTGTTTCTCTTGCATAATTGTTTCACAATATCTCTGTGGGGTTATGTTGACGTTTTGTAGGAATTTTCAAAGTTTCACTTTCTTCGAGGGCGTCATATGTCATGGTCAACCCTAGCTTGCCTATTTTTTCTCTCAACTCTCTCTTCTTTTATTTTTTCAGATCTATTTTATTTTAAAGAGAAAAAATAAGACAAAGTTTCAAAACACAGTAACTGGGGGGTAAAAATGCCTCCTCTTTCTTCTAACAAATATTTGCTGAATTTAATTTGTGCAAGTCATAGTTTTGGTTCTGTCCTTTTAGCTGGCCCCATCTGACTTCCCTCTTGGCTACATCAATGTGGGCAGAGGCTCAAGCTACCTCCCCATCCAAAGATGGAGGGTAGGGACTTCTTCCTCAGATAGTCAATCTGCTCTAGGAAAGGTAGTCATGGAAACAAAATTTACAATGGAGTGTCAGAAATACTAATGAAATTTTAGGCTATTACTCTTTTTTTCTTTTTTGAGACAAGGTCTGACTACGTAGTCCCAGCTGACTTGAGCTCGAGATCGTCTTGCCTCATTCTCCTGAATACTGGTGTTATAGGCATGTGCTACTATGCCTGGCAGCTGTTAGTTTTAATTCTGTGGTTATTCATGGTAATAGGGTAGCACACATAAGTCTTTACAGAGTATTAGATTAGTCTTGGATCTTAGAACATCAGAGTCAGAGGAAGAACAGTCTCTGGAGAAGAGAGCATATGCAAATGCATTAGCTACAAGGATCTGGTTATTTGTAGATTTTTTAAAGCTAGAGCAGAATGTACTTTGGAGAATTGCTGGGAAATGTGCCTAGAAAAGTGGACAGGGTGAGCATATAAGTCATGCACAAAATATTGGCCTGTCCTTATAGTAAGTGGGCAGAGATTGCATGCTGATTCTTCCATTCTTTAAGGATAATTTGTGTCCATATGAAAGGAGGTGGGGGTTGGCTGGGGCAGGAAACTTGGGTGAAAGGTGGAAGAGTCAGGAGACTGTGTGAGAGACCATGAGGACTAAACAAGACGGCATCCGAGGAACAGAGAGGAGGAGGTGAGAGAGCAGATTAGAACTCAGACTAGGCAGGACACACTGGCGGATTTGATGTTGGACAAAGATAACATAACCAAGAACCTTTAAGCGCTGGTGACTAGACATCTGGGAATTCCATTATTTCCAATGATGTGTTAGTACATGTTTGCAATGTGTAATGATTATGTTAATCAGGTACATGTACATAACACATCTTATTTTTTTTCTTACCCCTCCCCCTCCAAGTCTCCCCTCTCCCTCCATCTCTTAGTCCCCAAAAGGAGCAGATTTTTCAAGTGGCAGATAACCAATTCCAGTTTGAGCATGTGGAGCTCAAGGTAATTTTGGAATACTCAAATAAACATGTCCATCTGGCAGCTGAGTATGTGGGCCTGTGGCTTAGGACATTCTGATTTAAGAAGCATTGACGTATCAAGGAACCCTTAAAGTCTAAGAGTCAAATTTGCAAGTACCATACATATCTATTTTTAAAATAACTTTCCTTCCTGTTGTTACAAAAGTCACACATCATTAGAATATGATATTTAGAAAATATAGCCAAACAAAAATAAAAAATAATTACCCATAATCTTACCACTTTTTATACACATATCCCTGTTACACCTTTCAAAAACACACTATGATCATAATGTTGAAATTCTTAATATATTTTTGGAGTTTATGTCTCTAAGTGAAGTCTCAGGATGCAATGGATGTATATTCACCTTTCCTGCTTGATGGGATTTTTGTTCCCTGCCAGTTACTCCCCCTGCATACACAAGGTCCTGCCTGGCACCACCCTACCCTTTCCTATCCATTGACACCTGCCACCCTCTGGCCCTGGTGTGCTTTTGGGTGCAGACACCCTGCAGTGTCAAGGATGGGGCAGAATGTTGGCCACCTGACCTGTGCTAACAGCTGTTCAGTGGGTAACTAGGTGGGCGTGTTCCTCTTCCTCCCCCAATAGATAGGCATGAGGGTTTTGCACAGAGGTTGCATGCAGTGCCTTAGAGGGTCACCCATGGGACAGATGGGAGGAGGGAATTAAATTTTATGCTTTGCCTTTGCTTCCCTCACTGGGGGAGGAGGCAGCTGGCAGCTCGTGGGCGGGAGACCCTATCAGACAAGTGTTCTTTCAGGCTGCTCTATGTGTGAGGGACCTTCTCTTTCTCCTTCCCATCTTCTTTATTCTGCCTTGTGGTGGTTTCTTCCGGTCAGCTCAAGACACCCTCTAGGGAGGCCCTGTGAAATACAAATTGTGCAGTTTCAGTGATTCTGCCTCAGAGTGAAGTGCTTTGCTGTTTGTTTTTAAAACTAGCAGTGTAGAATGAAAAGATGGTGATGAAGTGATGAAACCAGATAAACTAAAAGATGGGTGAGACTGACATTATATTAATACTATATAAAAAATAGAATTGGGGCTGGGGATTTAGCTCAGCGGCATAAGCGCCTGCCTTGCAAGCAGGCAGTCGTGAGTTCGATCCCTGGTACCAGTAAAAATGAAAAAGATAAAAAAAAAATAGAACTAATATATCAATAGTATAATATATTATTATTATGCATAAGATGCCCAGGGAGGGAAGTCTAGAAAGGAGAAAATAGTTTAGGAGCTGGGGGTCGATCAGTGGTTGAGCACATGGTTAGCGTATGCATGGTTAGCATGGGGAAGGCCCTGGGTTCAATCCTCAGCACCAAAACAAACCCAACCAGACAATCCTCCCCAAACCCCAAGCATTTAATAACTTTAATGCTGAGTCCCAGGCTTTTCCCTGCGCATTTAACATTCATTAGCCTCTACAGCCCTCATGATAATACCAGGAGTATTGTTACTCCTAAGTGAGGAGTGTTATCACCACTCACCTTTTTACTGAGGCCAACAGAAGTTAAGTGACTTGCTCAAGGTCAACACCAAGTTAGTAGAGAGATCAGATTCAAACCCAAGTAGTTCTGGCTCCAGAACATCACCCCTGCTGTGCCATCTTTGTTCTTGTTACATCTTTCCCATTGCATATTGCACTTGAACCAGTTTATGTCCATCTCCATGTCCTCTGTTGACTTAGCTCTTTGAAGGAAGGAACAGTACTGTCCTAACCATTGTCTCTAGTCCATGGCATATAGTAGGCATTAGACAAACATCTGCTGAACTGTTAAATTTTTAAATTGGTTTGGCCTTAAAGATCTAAGACTATGAAGAGGCGATCACTTCACTAAGCTTAGGCAGCACCTCATTGTATTAACACCCTAAATAAAGATACTCTAAGAATTAAAGAAATGTTTATAAGAATAGGTGTATACAGTGGTGCCTTGGTTCATGAATCTAATTCTTTCCATGATTCTGGATGCAAAACAAACTGGATGAGACCCAAATCAAATTTTCCCCATAGGTCACCGTGGTCCTAACCATTGAATTTGATTTGCTTCTCATCTAATTTGGTTTGTGACCAGAATTGTGGAAGGAACTAAATTCAGGAACTGAATTTAGCTGCATATGCAGGCATAATCCATTCACCTACTACTGAGGATTTTTAGTATTCTTTGCACTTTAAAATTTTATTGGTACATTTTATATATACAAAATGATAACATTCCTCATAGGATTTGTATTTGTACATGATATATCTTGCTTCTTCTTTTTTCCCCATTCCTTTCCCCTTCCCTAACCCCGTGTCCTCTCCTTTACAAAAGCTTTGTTTCCATTTTTTCTTCTGTTCTCTTTTTTTTCTTGTCCCCTTTTTCCTTTCCCTTCCCTTATTCCCCCTCTCATTTGAAAATTTTCTTCCCATTTCCCAGTATCTATTACACATTTTTGGTCCTTATTTACACTTTTGATTTTTCACACCAGAGAAAACAATGTGGTATTTAAACATGTGTGCCTGATTTATTTCACTTAAGAGTGTGGCCTCAAGATGCATGTGTTTACCTAGAAATGCCTCAAGCTTATCCCTCTCTATGTCAGAGTAGCACTCCATTACATATATATATGTATATATATATATATCTCCATATCTTCTTTATCTATTCATCGGTTGATGGGCATTTGGGCTATTTCCAAGATTTAGTTACTACAAACTCTTCTGCTATAAACATGGATGAGCATATATTGCTGTGGTATGATGCTCTTAATTCTTTCAGGAAGATACCAAGAAGGGAAATAGCTGGGTTAAATGGAATCTGGAGTGAAATGGAATCTCATTGTTGTTATAATTTGCATTTCTTGAATGACCAGTGATATATTACATATTTCATGTATTTATTTGCCATTTCTACTTACTCATCTGAGAAGTGTCTATTGATTTCAGATGCCCATTTTTGGAGTGGACCTTTAAATTTGGGGATCTGGTTTTTTGAGTTCCTTATATATTCTAGATATTAGTCCTTTGAAGAACAGCTGGCAAAAAACCCTTTCTCACTCTGTGGGTTGTTTCTTCACTATTTTGATGGCTTCTTTTGCTGTGCAAAAGCTTTTTAATCAGATGAGATCCAGTTGTTGATTCTTTGTGATAGTTCCTGTGTTACTGGTGTTTTGCTCATAAAGTCTGTGTTTACCCCAGTGTCTTCAGGAGTTCTACCTAGTCTGTCCATCTTCCAGCAGAGTTAGTGTCTCTGTTTTAATATTTGTTTATTTAAATTTTGATTTTGTTTTTTTGTTTTTTGGTATTTTTAAGACAAAGTTTCACTTTGCAGTCCAGGCAGGCCTAGAACTCAGTTCGTAGCCCAGGCTGGCCTCAAACTTGCAGTGATTCTCCTGCCTCAGTTTCCCAAGTGTGTGCATTACAATACTTGGCCTGTTTTAATATTTAGGTCTTTGACCCATTTTAATTTTAGGTTAGTGCATGTGAAAGATATGGGTCCAGGGGCTGGGAATTTAGCTCAGCGGCATAAGCGCCTGCCTTGCAAGCAGGCAGTCCTGTGAGTTTGATCCCCGCTACTGGTAAAAAGGAAAAAGACAAAAAAAAAAAAAAAAAAAAAAAGATATGGGTCCAATTTTAATCTCTAGTATGTGCAAAGCCAGTTTTCCCAGCATCATTTATTAAAAAAGGCTTCCTTCCTGTGAAGGTGTTTCGTTCCTTTGTCAAAGCTAAGGTGATTGAGTGTGTTTGCAGCTGTTTCTATGTCTTCTAATCTGTCCCATTGATCCCAGGTGTGTTTTCCCCCCCAGTACCATGCTGTTTTTTTTATTACAGTAGCTTTGTAATGTAATTTCAAGTCAGGGATTGTGCCTTCCCTTTGTTACCTGGAATTGTTTTCATTATTCTAGGTCTCTTCTGGTTCCAAATGAATTTTAAAATTGTTTTCTCTAATTCTGTGAGATATGCTATTGGTATTTTGTTTGGAATTGCATTAAATCTGTACAATTTTGGAAGTATTAACCAATTCTAAGAACAGTAACCATTACTGTTTTACATTTGATATATTATTTTAAAAAGATTCTAAGGTTACTATTTTTTTTTTTTTGCTTCACATTAAAAATGTTTCCCTTTCCAACCTTATCACATTCCACCCCCACCTCAAGTTTACTGTTTTGCTGTGTCTAATTAGAGAGTAACCTGTCATTTTTCCTGCATGCCTGATTGCATTGCATGGCTTGTGCAGGACCAGGCACATGTCTGTACATTTATACTGAGGCAAAGTTCTTAGATTCACCAATTGTATGACTGAGTGCCTTGAGATATTTTTCCTACCTTAGGAAAAATCCTCTTTGTATCCAGCTAAAGACATAGAATTATTTCTGAAAGCTGCTATTAAATATGTACATGTGGGTGCCTGGGATGGTGTGTATTTTCATTCATTCATTATTGGGACCAGTAAGTGATAAGAGTCTGCATTCCTTAGGGGCGAGATCTAGGCTGGTACAGAGAGAGGATTCTGGGGAGAGGAAGCTACAGAAGAAGGAGAGCCAGAGTACAGAACTAATTATACTTCTGTTTGGGACAACTTCTGCCAGTAGCAAGTGTAGTTCATAAAGACACTCTCCATACTACAAAGAGCAAAACAACACCTAATGATGATCAGTAATGTTTTCTATTTTGCATCTTGTTTGCAGAGACTATGAATGCATCAATCCCATTCTCCTTCACGGGAATACGATTTTCTAAGGTATCGTTCAAGATTTATTTTGTACTCTCTAAATGTTTAGTAGTGACAGATGTGTTAAGAGTTTGAAACAAGGAATTCATGACTTCTAAAAATAATGATTCAGGATTAAGGTGTTCAAGAATATTGTGTTTTAGGCTTTTCTTCCTTCAATAGAATATGGAAAAATTGCACGTAAGGTAATTTTTTTTTGAGGGGGTGCTGCAGATATAGCTTACTGGTAGGATGCTTGCCTAGCATTCTTGAGTCCCTGGGTTTGATCCTCAGTACTAAATAAGAAAGCTTGTTTTCACTTTACTTTCTCTTTCCCATGTACATGACTAAAAATAAGGAGAACGCTCACTCTTACTCTGTTGGTCTTCATATGGAAATACTGGGCAACTATCTTGCTACTTACCCCTTGCTAAGACAAAATACCCAACACCCAAAGTTAAAGGAGGAAAGATGTATTTAGTTCACAGCTTGTAGAAATTTCAGCTTATAGTTGGCTGGCTGCACTGCAGGGAGGCGTGGCAGAGGGGCATTGCAAAAGAGAAATAGTCTATGGCTAACAGGCAGGTAAGAATAAGCAAGGGGACCTTAGCAGTTTTTTCCTACCCTTTTTGTACTCTATCTAGGTTACCAGGATTAGGATGGTGCCAAAACAACTGGGGGACTGATTTAGTAATCACAGGCCCTTACTCCCACCATTGCATCATGAATCAATTACACATTCTAGATTCAGCTACCTCTGAAAAAGCCCCAGCAATGCCCACATGAGGCTTTGGGGGACATCTGGACACAAGACATAACAGCAACAATTTTCTGTAAGGCAGTAACTACTGTGTATAAGTCTATAACTATTTGTGTAATATATTAAATAGAATGTAAAAATTGGGAGCATAAAAACCACATAAATTATAGGATTATTTTTGTATGATATTCTGTGGGATGGAATTTAGCTTGGATGTCAGGCCTTTGTAAAAATAACTTTCTCAATGAATACCATTTAATGTGGATATTTGCATTATACATCTAGCAATGAAATTTTACACATTTCATTTTTGGTGACTATTTTAAAGTAAACTTTAGTAATGCATACTCTTATTTTGTTATAAATGATATGTAATATTTGAAGACCTTGTAGGCTATTTTAAAAAAATTATAAATATTCCACATCTTATAAGTGGGAAATAAATGGACTGTAGGCTTATTGAGCTTACAGGGACAGAAAATTTCTTTTCATTGGAAAATTAAGAAAGTAGTAATCCAGTTGGGAGTGTTAGTGCAGTGGTAGAGCACTTGCCCAGCACACACAAGGCCCTGTTGATCCCCACTGCCCTAAGAAATATTGACAAATTCAGTGTGAGTGGCATTCTACTGTTAAGACAAAGTTCTTACAAAGCCTTTAATATAGTAGCATGTAACATTTTTTAGATTGTTAAATCTAACATTGTTTTGTTTCTTATTCCTCATTTTAGGGTAAATATTATTGTGTTGTGGAAGCCATCGTTGGGGACATTGAAGAAAGGCTTTTTTGTTTGAATTTTACCATTGAGCACTTCCCTCGTTTTTAATTAAAATAAATTAAGCATGTTTTTTATTTTTTGAAGATGTTCTTATTTAATGTAATATAAGGGACCTAGAATCTATTTTAATTGGGTATGGGGAGACATGAGACACAGGAATGACTGTCTTGAGAGAAAGTGTACTTTTGTTGCTGTCTGTTCAAGGCAGGATCTTGTTATATAGCCCAGGATGGTGTCAAACTTGTGATCCCCCCACCCCCACCCCCAGGTGATAAGATCACTGGTGTATACAAGCAGTCTCTGGAATGTAGGGGTTTCCCCTCATTTCCCTTTCTGGTGCCTGGCCCTGGGGTTACGAGGGTGGGTGGATAGTGACCCTGAACTTGAGCATCCCTTCGAGGAAGTGGTTGGAGTGAGGGCTCTGGGTTGACTGGTTGCATACAAAAGGTGTCGTCACTGTAGCTAAGGATTAGGTAGGTGTCTCTGGGAGGAGAGCTCCAGTCAGAGTCAGCAAGATCTCTGATGTCAAAGCATCAGAGATACAGAAAATAAGAGTGCCTGGTTAACACAATTCTTCACGTATTTTTTTTTCCTAAGGGAACAAAACCTCTTGAACCCATTGCCTTCCCCCCAGTTTGTCTGCTACTACCTTGGGGCAGGTCCCAGCACCTTCCATAGACTACTCTGCAGTCTCCTGCTGACCTTCTTGCATCTGCACAGGTACCTCCTCAAGCTTTTCTCTGCAAGGGTCATATTAGGAATATTTTCAAAATACAAGTCTGATCCTAGGGCTGCAATGCAAATACAACAAAAGAAAAAGCAAAGAAAAGGGGGATACAATTAGAAGGTGTTGGGAGCTTCCCAACCCTACCCGCATTTTCCTTTCCCACTGCCTCCTCCCCCAACTCCCCTTGTTCTCTGTGTTGTGGAGTGAACCAGTCTCCCCATCTCTGGACCTTTGCTTACGAAGTCCTATCTGTTTAACAAGGACGACTTCCTTGAAATTGTCAGTAGGTAAGGTAGAATTTTTTTTCAAGTTCATTTTATTTCAAAGAGAAAAAAACCCCTAAAATTTAATGCACATCAATTAGGGGGCCAATAATATATACATTGTGCATCGTTGACTCTGAATCATTCACCCAGAGCACAAGACATCTGCATTCAGTTGTCCAAACAACACCAGCAAAAATCTTTACTTTCGATGAACTCAGAGAAATCAATACTTAACTATGTTTATATATATATAACTATGTTTATATATGTTATATCTATATAAACATATACATATACACATATACTTACATATTTATGTTGTTTCAGCTTCTCACAATATGATGTTTGCACGAGTGTATGATTTGTTTCACTTATGAGCATGGTCTCAAGCTGCATCCATTTACCTAGAAAGTCTCCAGCTTATCCTTGTTAATGGCTGAGCAGTAGCCCACTGTATAAAAATATCACATCTTTTTATTCATTTCTTAGTTGATGGGCATTTAGGTTGTTTGCAAGATTTGGCTGTTCCAAATTGTGTTGCTATAAACTGCTATTCTTTCCAGAGTGACATAGAATTTCAGTGTTGTTTTAATTTGCACTTCTCGAATAACCAGTGGTGTTGAACCTTTTTTTCACATATTTATTTGCTGTTTGCATTTCTTCATCTGAGAAATGTGTATTGATCTCAGCTGCCCATTTTTGGATTAGGTCTTTGAATCTGGAAGGACTTAATTTTTTTTTTTAGTTCTTTACACATTCTCTATCTTTTTTTTCCCATTTTTATTGGTACCGGAGATCGAACTCACGACCGCCTGCTTGCAAGGCAGGTGCTTATGCCGCTGAGCTAAATCCCCAGCCCCTCCACATTCTCAATAGTAATCCTTTGTCTGAGAACAGTTGGCAAACATTTTTTCCCACACTGTGGGTTGTCTCTTTACTCTGTTGGTGAGGATCAAACTAACGACCTTGTGTTTGCCAGGCAGCCACTTGTGCCCCTGAGCTATATGCCTAGCTCTTTTTCAGAGATTCTGGGGCGCACTCTCTTTCTTTCTCTCCCTCTCTCCATCCCTGCACTACATCTGTGTCTGTCTGTCTGTCCTTTGAGAAGCAGGCATTACAAGTTTGCTTTGCTCAGTCTGTGCTGAGCTAGGAGTTACAGCATGGGTCAGCCATGTAGTCATCGCTTTCTGTTCCTGATAGACAGGCTATGCATGACCCATCAGAATTCCAGGACTACTGAGAAAGATACTAGTTTTAGAGAAGATTCCGTGCAGCATTTGTGGATTAACCCTTTCCCTCCTGGGGAAAAAGTGAGAACTGGGATTATTTTTCACTTGTTCACTGTATGATGAGCAGAAGAGAAGATCAGTCATGCTTACCATCCCATGCCACTGTCATCATTCTCTCCTATGTAGCTGGACTGTTGCTGATGGATCTGTTAAAGCTCCAAGACAAGCAAGACAGAATCCAGTCCTTTGGGAGCACTCTGGAGGAGTTGGGTGCTTGTCATGCAAACCAATTTCTCCCAGTTCTTAGGTGAAGCTGGGAGCTAGGTAGTCTTCTTAAATGTATGGTACTCTACTCAGGTAAGGAATTCTGGAGACAGGGTGTCCTAAGTCTTCAGAGTGTTTTTTTCTGTTTTATTTTAAAGAGAAAAATTTTAGTAAAAGTTCAGTTCAAAACAAGATAATAGAAGAGTGACAATGGTTAATACATTGAATATCGTTATCTTTAAATTATTACTCAGAGTACAAGATATAGGCATTTATTTGTCCAAACATTAGCACAAATCTTTCTTTTCCATGAATTCTGAGAAATTAGTAGTATAACTTCTTAACTATCATTTGCTTTTGCTTTTTATTTCCTTATTTTTTCCTTTCCTGCATTCCAGTTTCTCTTTGTTTTTGAACCATTTCTTCCCAATTCACAAGATCTGTTATACATTTGGGATCTGATTTACTCTTTTAGTTTTTCATACTAGTGAGACAATACAGTGTTTACACATATGGGTCTGATTTATTTCAGTTATGAGTATGGTCTCGAGTTGTATCCATTTACCTAGAATAGTGTTTAGTTTATCCTTCTTTGTGGCTGAGTAGTACTCCATTGTATAAAATGACAACATTTTTAAATCCATTCCTCAGTTGATGAGCATTTGAGTTGTTTCCAAGATTTAGCTATTCCAAATTGTGTTGCTATAAACCTAGGTACACACATATTGCTGTGATATGATGTGTTTAATTCTTCTGGGAAGATACCCATAAGCTAGGTCAAATGGGACCTCTAATCCTAGTTTTTGGAGGAATCTTTACACTGATTTCTATGATGGTTGAACCAGTCTATACTCCCACCAACAGTGCAGAAGTGTTCCTTTTTCCACAGCCCCTCCAGCATTTGTTATTGCTTGATATCTGATGATAAACATACTTTCTGGGGTGACGTGGTTTTTCAGTGTTGTTTTAATTTGCATCTCTTGAATGAATGATCTTGAACATTTTTTTCGTATATTTATTTGCTCTTTGTGTTTCCTTGTCTGAGGAGTGTGTGTTCATCTCAGATGCTTATTTTTGGATTGGGTCTTTAAATTGGGAAGGTCTGATTTTTTTTGAGTTTTTGATAGTTTTTATTAGTAATCCTCTGAGGTACAGCTGGCAAACATTTTCTCTCACACTTTGAGTTGTTTCTTTACTCTGCTTGTGGTTTTTCTTGCTGTGCGAAAGCTTTTTAATAAGATGAGATCTCAGTTATTCTCTGTTACAATTCCTGTGCATTTGGGATTTTATTTATAAAGTCTTTGACTACATTGAGATCTTCAAGAGTTTTACCTATTTTATCTTCCAGCAGATTTAATGTTTCTGTTTTAATATTTAGATCTTTGATTGATTTTGAATTTAGCTTAGTGCTTGGTGAAAGATATGGACCCAATTTTAATCTCCAGCATGTGCAAAGCCAGTTTTTCCTGCATCACTTATTAAAGCGGCTACCTTTCTTCCAGTGAATATATTTGGCATCTTTGTCAAAGACAAGGTAGCAGACAGAGTATGGGTAGAGTTGTTTCTGCATCTTCTAACCTGTTTCAATAATCTTCATGTCTGTTTTTTCCTCTATAACATACTGTTTTTATTGCAGTAGTATCTGTAGTATAATTTCAGGTCAGGAATTGTGATGCCCCCTGCCTTGCCTTTGTTTCCCAGAGCTGCCTTTTCTGGTTCTCCATAGTAGTTTTAGTGAGTATGATTTTGGTTTTTGGTACTGGGGACAGGATCCAAGGCCTGGTGCATGAGGCCAATCCTTAGTGCTGAGCCGCACCGCCAGCCCTAGAAGAGATGTTTTTTTTCAGTACTGGGAATTGAATTTAGGACCTTGTGCTTGCTAGGTAGGCACTAGATCTTTTCTTGATCTAGATGAATTTTAGGATTGTTTTCGCTAATTCTGTGAGATATGCTATTGGCATTTTGATGGGGATTGCATTGAATCTGCATAACAGTGTTGTGGCCATTTTCACTATAGTGGTTCTTCCTACTTAAGAGCATGGATATCTCTCCATTTTCTAATAACCTCTCCCTTCTTCAGAGTACTGTGGTTTTTAATATAGAGGTTTTTAAATATCCCTTATTAGATTGATTTCTAAGTGTTTCATAAAATTTTTTGGATGCTATTGTGAAAGCTGTTGTTTCCCTGATTTTTTTATCAGTGATTTTATTGTTTGTGTACAAAAATGCTATTGATTTTTGAGTGTTGACTTTGTATCCAGATACAATACTGAATTTGTTTATTAATTCTAGTAGTCTTTTGGCAGAGTTTTTGGGGTCCTCTATGTAGAGTATCATGTCATTTGGAAATAATGATAGTTTGACTTTTCCTTTCTTATCTTTTCTTTCTCTTGTCCAATTGCTCCAGCTGAAGTTTCCAGGACTATGTTAATAAGAGTAAAGACAGTGAACATCCTTGTCTTGTTTCTGATTTTAGAGAGATAATTTTCAGTTTTTGTCTGTTTAGCTTGATGTTGGCTGTCTGTTTATCAGAGTGAGGTAAATATCATCTATTCTAATTTCTTAGAGTTTTTATCATGAATTGGTGC